TTGCCCGCTGCAGACTTGATGATTTCTTGCTAATTCTCCTTCTTCTCCAGTTCCTTTTCCTTATTTATTTTATCTTCGATACCATCGATTCATCAGGCAATGATTGGAGACAACTTTTTTAACATTCTAACCTGGAAACTTACGGAAGTTGCGTATTTGTAATTGTCTTGACACTTTTCAGTTCCAAATAACAACATATGGCATTGCCACTGCATCACTAGTCAACATCCTTCTTCAATCTAGATAATTCGTGCCTAAATGCGTCTGGAAGACACAATAGAGTGTTAGCGATTATATCTTTTTGCCTTTCATGCATCTATGACATGATGCAAGTTTTCGCCTGTGTCGAATTTTCCTCAATCCATTCCAAATCGCGCCAATGTAACTGATGGGTTTGTTGATAATTACGCTTTTGATAAAAAGAAAATGGGGGCGTTTTGTCTTGGAAATAGCCAATTCAGTTGCTATTCTCGGATCGTGATGGTGTACAATTTAGAACGGCATTTACAAAAATTGGGCCTTGATGGCGATTTCCACGATCTCTGCACCTATTGAGTAACAAGGAGAAGAAGTGAGGCCTCTTTCCTTGGATACGACAGTTGCGAGGAGTTGGTAGTTGTCTACAATCGACGAAGTCCCCCACAATTGTGTTGCCCATTCCATCATTTGTGCTTAGGAATGGGATAGTGGTGTCACTGCTAGTAGCAGTGTACCGAGAACCGGAAGTTAGCTTATCCACCTAGCACCCTCTAGATCCCTGCCACGATGGTAGAGGCATGTGTTCAGACTGCCCTAATTGCTTGCAAATACACGCCAAGAGTGGATAGTCTTGTTCTTCATCTTGGTAGTTTCCTTGGAGTGTATCGGTTTGCTTCATTGTTCTTCGTGGTGTCAGATTTGCCTTTCATTTAACCGGTAAGGCGGTCACTTGCAGTTTTTGCGTCTTTGGAAGCGCGCAGCACTCTGAACGGAATGCATTGCAATGACTGCCGAGTGTCTTGTAGTTGATAGTGGCGTCTGGCAAGCAGAGCGACCATGGAGCGGAAATTCTTTCAGGAGGTACATCCAACTTTGGGGAGCTGTGGGTGATCGTGTGGCTTGTGGATGTTGCGTTAGCCATTGCTGTACACCTTGGCTGACGGGTATTAATAGTAATGTGAGATTTCCCTAGATTGACCTTAACATGGATGGAGGATGAGTAGACCTTTTTGTTATTTCTTAAAATCGTCTCGGGGCGCGGGTGCACGACGCTGCATGCCGAGGCGTACTTGGTAACTTTATGTGCTTGTGTGCTTCCTCGTAGGCGAGGTTGCGGGTATGGCAGTGGTATTGGACGTGATGACGGTATTGGTCTCTTTGGCAGAGCCTTTGGAGCACCACTGGTTGTGGGGTTCATGCCGGACAGTCCCACTCGACCGCTAGTGCTGTGGAAAAACTCGAGCTTAGAAATGTGAGTGATGACAATGGAGATTTGCTTTGTCGCGGCCATGGAGGTGAAAATACGGCTAAAGTCCCTCCTTCCAGTGTTACACTGCTTATAAATGTAGCCCCTAAGTTTTGCGGTATTTCGATCCACAGCACCTGCATTCACACGATTTCCTCTGTCCCTGCCACTCACACATCTATTGCTTGCCGTCTTCTCTTCACAGCACGACTGCACTGCCTTGTGTTGTCCAGACAATGGTCTTCAAATGTGGTCACATGGACCGATAATCCGCACGTGACCTTTATACCGTCTATAGGGACAACAGATTGGGTCAGGTGATTCAACATTCTCGTGTCTGATACGTTACCTCCCTTGTAAGCCCCTTCAGTGCCCTCGTATACTGTTTGGGTCAGACTGGAGATGTTCTCAAATACCTTATCCCTACAGCAAAAATACCTGTTTGGTGAAATTCTTACAACCTTCACATTCTAATTGGCACCAAGTAAATCTTTCTGTCGGCGTTCCGCAATCATTTGCAGAATGTTGTTCCTTGTTTCATATAACTATCGCAATTTTTCACACGCAGACCCGATATCACACTAGGATGTTGTCTTGTCTACCGAGCTAAACGAGTAGCTAATTTGCTGGGATGGATTGCCTTCGCTACAGTTTAGACACGAACAACTAATCCTCGGGTCCCTAATCATCTCCTGCACGTTGCAGTAATGCAGCGAACACATGCACGGAAGACAGTACCCTTCAACTCAGGCTAGACGCGTCGATCACCTGTTTGACCTCAAAAAAATTAACAGATCTTTTTCTAATCCACTCACATTTCGATGACACCATCTGCGATGACAAATTGGCATTTGCTAATATAAGAAATAATACAACATTAATAGGATGTCAATGGGTATATCGAGGGGTATAACAGGCAAGTTATAAAAAAACCGGTCCTTTCTGCACTTGACGATGCTCTTGTCGCGCATTTCTATAGTGCAGGTGCGTATGAACCTGTGCGACATTGGAAGCTCTTAACAGCGATTCTTGCTTAGCCATGTAGGATGTCATCAAAGCTGCAGAGACATCGCTATTTGCAAGTTCCATCTACTCGTCTCAACAAGCATTTATCTCCTGATGTAGTGTTTGATTGTGAACAGAGCCACGGATGGTTGCACCTCTTCTGGATATACGAGAATGTGTGCATCTGGTAGTTGGCACTGCTTCAATTTTGGCCATTTGATTTGACCACTTTGCTTACTATAGGTCTCAGCTTTTGTTTGTAGTCAAAAGTGGGCAAGCTGACTATTATGAAAAGGGGAATTCGGTGGCGCCGGCTATCAACGAATGTCCTATAAGCCACTGCATACAGTCTGCACACTCAGAACCGCGCCTTTGCTATGCAGTCACCTGTATTGGGTTAGTAGTAGTCGGTTTTCGCAGTGTCTTAGTCAAAAGTGAGAAATTATTTGGAAAGTAGTTGCGGATTATGTGCTGCTGCTGCTGTCGCTAGTAACATTGAGAACTATGATTGCTTTCACTATCTTAAAAGACGCTTTGGAAGAAAAAAATTTCCAATCGTTTTGATGCGCTTTGCAAAAGCCCGTTCGGGCGGCGGCATTGTTTTCGCAGTTTGCAGATATAAAAGACAGTAATTTTGCACTGATCAGTGAGAAACTGCTGATTGTATCGGTGTTCTGTGTTGACGTCTGTGACGCAAGCGACTTCCATAAATGCAGATTAGCAAGTTCTGTCCGTCTAGAGATGCATTCTTCAGGCTGACTTGTGCTGTCATGCGTCAAATAGTTAAATTGCATTGTCTGGGGGACTATAAGCACGGACAAAATAAAAAAATTTTAATGCGTTTTACATTTAATGAAGCAGAAATGATGCCAGCGCGCTGAGACACATACGCATATTCATGCATATATATACGCAAATATATTAAGTATGTTGTTTAAATGTTTCAGTGATGGGACGGGCAGACAAATCAAACTTCTATTACTGAGGAGCTGTCAGCATCCACAACTCGGAGAAATGTTTCTTGTTGATACCTCCCTAACCTTGCACTCAA